TGATTGTCATCACCTTTGGCATGGTAACTTTGGGTAGATGAGATCTGCCATCGGTAGTCTGGGCACCGAGCCAGATATGATAGTTGCACTGGTTCTTCGTTAGTGATGATTGGGACTGTTTCAGCCTTGTCAATTATGAGCTCTTGGTGCCTTCTTATGAGGTAGAACTCATGATGCGGTTTTGCTATTGGATCGAGGTCACAACTCACGAAAATCTGGTCGTGTGTATATGATGCTGTTTGATTGTTGAAGTTCGCTATTGCTCATCATCATCTTATTATTATTATTATTATTATTATTATTATTATTATTATTATTATTATTATTATTATCTACGAACATTTGCAGGCAGATCAGACTGTGAGTTGAGATCGAGGTTATGAGTGATACGAGAAAAGACATACCTGGTGCTGACGCATGCGGGATTTATCAAGATCTGCTCGTACTTCAGAAGAGCACGCTGTCGTCAGCATTCGACCATAGTAGTGGGCTAGATAATGATCGGCCATCCGTGGTCTGGGCGCCGAACGCCATGGGGGATGTTGGCATTGGATCTGTGATGATGATGATGATGATGATGCGATGGCACTTACCTTGTATTGGTGATGGTCTGCATGGGCAACATCTTCCATTACTTCGGGTTGCCGCAGATGTCAACAGATGCATTGTCTTTTTGTAGTCTGTCGTAGCTGTGAAGAAGTAGGTTGGGCGCTGAGCGCCAAGTGTGAGTGTGAAGGAACTGGACTTTTGTGCTAGTATGGAGAGAGTATGCTCTCCTTGACATTGGTCTTCAGCGCTACGAGCCTCCATTGGTATGATATTAGTGCAATGCGGCTCTCTGGACACGATTTGAATATCTGGCCCAGAAATGTGATGCTGTAATCTGGGATTGTCATCTAGGTGTTGTTTATTTTTCGGTTGCATTATTATTATTATTATTATTATTATTTTTGGTGCAAAGCAGATTCGATTTTCAGGCATGCAAAACAGGTGCGCAGCAGAATGGCAATGAGCGCCACTTAGTTCTCAGAGATATGGTAGCCAAGGAGACAGTTCAGATACCAGTCCACTTTCGATGACGATGGCGACTCAGCGCCCAAACTACGCTCTACTCACATACACCGGATCGCCCGTGATATCCCGCACGTGGTACTGTGCACTCACGAGGCACGCACACACACAGTCCACAGTGAAAACCCGGGGCACTGTGACACACGGTGCACAATGCAAACACAAACACCGTGGCATACACAGACAGCGTGAGATCACACAGATGTGCAGATACATCGTCATACAGTTACCGTGATGCTAGCACGGTGAAAGGCACACTGTGCGCAGGATGACACGGACACTGGGACACATACACGGTGTGAGCAGACACTGTGCCAGTCAAACACGATAGCGCAGACTGTGGTATATGCAGCAATGCACATTGTGACGCGCACACGACAGAGGCACACAGTGCGCACATACGGATACCCAGTTGCACAGTCCCAGTGCCACGAACATCGTGACACACACAACAGAATGTGGCATACACCGTGACATATATTGTGACGCACAGTCACACAGTGGCACACATCCACAAAGTGACACTCGTACATACAGGGACACACAGTTAAAACACACGGATACACAGTCATGCAGATGTATGGTGACACAGTCATAGTGCACAGTGACAGGTACACACTAAGAAAACACACAGTCACGGTGACACAAACACGCCGTGACAAGTCACACAGTCACAGTGCCACGGACACACAAGTCGCGAGGACATACACTGTGGAAAACGCAGTGATGCAATGAGATACACACAGAAAGGGTGAGGCTGTGGCACCATACCTTTTCTTCGTCTGATCACCCTCCTCCTCGTCTGTATATGCTCAGGGACTGGCACATTCCCTATATGTGAACGTCAGAACCCTTCACACCCCTCAACAATGATGATGTATGCTGGATCTGCATTACGGTATTAAGTTGGTCTGATCGTTGGTATTTTAGTCTTCCACTGTACTATCCTGTACTATGTGAGAGAGGTCGGTTCTTGTTCTGGTCCGCACCATTATGACATGCGACATGCATCATGTCACGCGGATGCACGGTGACACCTACATGGGACACACAGCTACTATAACGTACACAGTCACGGTGGCACACACATAGAACATCTAACACAAGCTACACTAACACACTCAGAGAACTGCGTGTACACAAACAACCACACGTACACAGCGAAAACAACTGTATGCAGTAAAACAGTTGTACACATTGACACAACTGTACAAAGTGACGCAACTGTACTGAATCGGCAACCCGATCCCGAAACGCAGTGACACATACACCCACCATAACGCAGCCGTGCACTGCGACGCAGCTATACACAGTCGGTGGCACAGTCACACGCCCAGGGATGTGCACATGAAACACGCACAGTCACAGCCACTCGGATACTATGACCCACACGGTCACAATCACATACATAGACAGGGGGAGAGACACGGATTGTGACAAACACGGTAAGACAGACTGTGAAGCACACAAACGTCGTGACGCACGGTGAGAYYGAATCACGCAGGCGTGCGGTGCGCATTGACACATGAAGTGAAACGCGGAGATGTCCGCACACATAGAACAAGAGAAAGAGAGAGAAGGAAAAATAATAAGGARTGGTGATGTCGTGAGGTGTGTACTTGGACTTGGTAGTGGGCGGCATGGTCGACATCATGCATTTTTGGTTTGTAGGAGCCAGCGGTTGCGTGGTCTGTTCGTGAGCTGGTAGTAGCAGCGTGACAGTATTCTGGGCGTCGATCACCGAATAGAAGAAAGGCCCCTGATATACGTGTCGGTTGCAGCAAGGGAAAGACTCYCATTGTCAATTCAATGCAAGTATTCGGATTCCGATTGATATAACATCAGTGCATTACCACTCTCTGATCGGAGTATGATTTTTTGGCTTTCAAAGGGGATTTCACCGTGCAATCTGTCCTTCCACTTTCGTCATTGCCCTGCGCTATTATTATTATTATTACTATTATTGTTCTAAATATTATTATTATTATTATTATTATTATTATTATTATTATTATTTTATGTCGTTATTCTAATTGTTATCATTAGGCATCATATAGAGCCAGAAAAGGAAAGTATGGGGCATTGGAGAGGAGGGAGACGCTATCACTTGTAATGGAGTCCACCTCCTTCATTCTCCTCCGTACTTGTCTTTGTGCGGTCCTCTCAAATACATGCCCCTCGACTTATTGATTGGAGTTTGAACCCCGTTGAGWTAACCCTTACCTCAGCTAACCCTAAAAGTCCAGCAATCGATTGCATGAGTTGTACATGACCAATGACAGGGCGATTGTGGGAGCTCTTCCGGAGTTCAGGCGGAWCTCTGGAGGCAGGGAACAGTGTGGTATGTGTGATTCAACATAAACCCTAAACCCTGAACCCTAAACCCTGAACCCTAAATCTGTAACCTTTAGGCTGCTACCTATGACTATGTTAGTAACGAGGGTACATCGATCTTGCTATGTGGGTGTTCTTTGGGGATGTGGATGTAAAGGGGATCGAGTACTCATATTTTTCTATCTATACGTCACCTAACGATGATGGGTATTCATTGGTTCAGCTTGTTGTGATTGAATGCAACGATGATGATTCATGTCATTTATTTCTTGTCATACGCCTGATTCAACCATGAGTCCCCGAAAGTGACAACGATTCAAGGCGAGTGTCATCAAAGGCAATAACGTGATCCATCGATAAGGCTTGTGTGGAGATAAGAATAGCAGGGAAAGCCTGCCTTAACTCCGATGAGCCTTACGCTTGGTCCGTAGTAAGAGCAGGATCCTTGGACACCCACCTTGTTGAGGGCTAGCCAGTGATAAGAGAAGCAGRGAAATTCTGCCTTATCAGTGACTAGTCTGATATAAGAGTAGTGAGGTTTCAAGGACACCTGCCTTATCATTAACCAATCCAACATTCTTTTCAGTGATAATAGTAGCAAGGATCCTTGGACACCCGCCTTATTGAGGGCTAGCCAGTGATAAGAGAAGCAAGGAAATCCCGCCTTATSAGTGGCTAGTCTGATATAAGAGTAGTGGGGTTCAAGGACACCTGCCTTATCATTGATCAACCTAACATTCATTCAGTGGTAAGAGTAGTAAGGATCCTTGGACACCCGCCTTGTTGAGGGCTAGCCAGTGATAAGAGAAGCAGGAAAATCCTGTCTTATCAGTGACTAGTCTGATATAAGAGTGGTGAGGTTTCAAGGACACCTGCCTTATCAATAAACATCCTAGCGCTTAGTCAGTGATAAGAATAATAAGGATCCTTGGACACCCGCCTTATTGAGGGCTAGCCAGTGATAAGAGTAGCAGGGGAATCCAGTCTTATCAGTGACTAATCTGATATAAGAGTAGTGAGGTTTCAGGGATAMCTGCCTTRTCTATGACTAACCATAGGATAAGCCTCCCGCWAAGTGTGCTTTGGCTCACAAGKGCCAAGAGCCACAAGATTTGCCTTTGTCAAACAAGTTTTAGTAACAAGTGGATATATCCTGAATGGTCTGCCATACCACCTCTAACTTTCTCCACAATCTGCATTGTTCAGTCATAACTAACTATCTCTGATTCTACTGAGAGGGGATAAGTGAAATCTTACCTTAAAGAGAGACTATTCATTTGTCTGATTTCTTTTCATGGGATTATTTCCACAAGTTGGATTGATGATGTGTTCATGTGTGTTGGGAGAAGGAAKGAAACTCAGACAGGATAATCCTAAAAGGGATAGAAATGAGATAGTGAAAGGGATATGGAGAATTASTGCGACAGTAAAAGGGAAGTGAACTGTTAGTCACTACCTAAAGCGAAAGGGCAATAACCCAAACATTTAGTTAAGGATAGAAGTCAGACAAAAGACACAGAGTCTAGAAGGAACATTCTAGATCTCAGWAGAGAAGAGGGATGTTAAGTTTCTCTTGGACTGTGTTGTGTCTACAGGTTTCGACATTTCGGAGAACTTACGGGGGAATCCGTAAGAACAACAATTATGTAGTCTCTGGACAACAGGTCGGTAGAACTTCGACTCAACTTCCACCATGGCTTGACACCCACACCGAAGACAAGACCTAAGAAGGGAACAGATAAATCTTCCCCCYGTATMTRTGCCTAAATTGTCCAAATCACACTMAGGAGTCTTCAAAAATGTRTGGGGCYGGGGTAAAAGGARTYAGGGTTAGGAAGGAATGTTGTTTTCAAGGGTTTGGGGCGTGAGTGGCATGCTATGAATGGATTAAAGGTCGACGCTCGTAGCGCATTTTGTGTCTGCATCTGTATGYGTATATGTTGTTTCTTGCATCTGCACAGGTGTTGGACATCTGTGCTGTCTTCTGAATTTGGGATCGTTTGAGAAATTCGGGCAAAGGGACACGACAATTGTGAAAGTGAGGTCCACCGCTCAGTCAGCTCCCCTGATTTACATACATATAATATATATATATATGTATATATATACTTGTGAATGGGATCGTAGTTGGTCAGGATCGGAAAGTCATTTGTCTAGGCTTCTGTTTGAGAGGATAGGATGCTACAAAGGGAATCGACCCTGGCATTCTCATGTGATGAGCAAAGTAAACGCTGAGTCATTGTCATAGTTAGTTAAGCGTGGAAGACTGTCCTAGAAAAGTCGACCTGATTAATAGTCGGTCCGAGGAATTACCGTCTCGGGGCACGACATACAGATCAGTCTTAAGGCGTTCTACCGCGCATATGCCTATGCTACGGCGATCGAGAAATTGCCATCGGTTGGCCTACCTCTGCGATTGCATGTAAAAGCCTTCGCACGTGGGTCAGTAGCTCAGCCGGGATACGCCCACCTAAGGGATGGTGACAGCTCCCGCAGGTGAAGGTATGTTGTACCTCGCGGGTTCCCTAACCTGTCGTAGGGAGTCGCGAGAGGTATAGCACGTGCACACGGTCGGAGTTGGTATTGCGTAAAGTGACAAAAAGAAACTCCTGCGTGACACGACCGTGAGGTCCAACACCAAAAACTACTTTGCGTCTGGGTGTGGGACTGCCGCGCGCGACAGCGGGATCTGACAGCTTGACAGACGGGCTGAACAAGGATGGAACCCACCCTGTGACTTCCAACTCCCCCCCAAGTGGGGGGATACACGAGTCACACAAGGAGGAAGGGGAAATAATGGAGTCCGAAGAAGATGCCCCATTATTTGTGCGAAGAAAGGTGGTTGAGAAGAAAGAGAAGGGACCGAGGCATCTCAGGCATCAATGCCAAGAAGAGACAAACATGAACAGAGACAGCCAGGATATCCCATTAGAAGAGCCTCCCTCATAGCCGAGCCCGGCTGAGCAGACCGTAGCCTGAACCGACGGCCGATGCGTCAACGGGGCCAGTGGGCCACCACCAAAATCAACATCTGACTGCCCGGAACAGTCCAGGAAACGGATTAAGAAAACAACCGGGACAAGCTCCCCCTCATCTGCTGGCAGTTGTCTGCCTCCACAGGCTGCACTGCTGGACCACTGGTAGACACCTTGGCACAAAAGATGGACGAGTTATCTGGGTTGGGGAAAGTCAAAGAAAAAGTCAATGGCTCCGTCAAAGTAATGGCAAGGTACAGTCGTATAGAGAACGCAACAACAAAAATCAAGGAAATCATGCAGGGGCCTGAGGCCCGACAGCAGAGACATTACTCAGACCCGTTTGATGGTGCCCCAAACTAGATCGTTGTAGGCCTCCCTACCAAAACGATCATCATTCCCAAGGAAAAAGGAGGACAGTCCAACGACAGCTCAGATCGCCTCGAAATCATGCAGGGGCTAGAGACCCGACAGCAGAGGCATAACTCAGACCCGCTTGATGGTGCCCCGAACTTGATCGTTGTTGGCCTGCCGGCTAAAAAGGTCATCAGTCCCAAGGTAAAAGAACTTCGGCCCGACGACAGCTCAGATCGCCTGAATGTATAGCAGACAAAAAAAAGGGGGCCACTTCCATCCACAAGGTTACCACCCCCAGGTGAACCGAGCTCGCAGCAGAAACCCCACCCTCCCTGTCCACTCGATGATCACTCAAACAACCGCAAACTAAGAGAGGTTGTTTCTAAACTAACTGGGGAAAGGAAATACCTGCAACTTCCAACACCGGCAGAGGAAACGGAAAAAAACTCCCGAATCACCAGACTCTTTGAGTGGGACAGCTCAATCCAAGACTGGGAGCCTGAGGAATCTGTGGCGGGCAAACAAGAACAGGAACCGGAAAATAGTGATGTGAAGAACCAAATCGGTCCCCCTCCCCTCCTTCCACCATTCATACTGGAGACACAGACGCAGATGGGAAAAGCACAGCCTACAACTGCAGACAACCCACCTCGACTTCATCGAGGATGTGGCGATCCCGGGGGATGGGATACCGTGATCCCCGTGACCTCGGGGGAGGAAATGGAGATGGAGGTTCTCCCACCCCTCCCCGCAGACACGCACGCAGATCAAGGAGACCCCAGGCAGAGAATGGAGGTGGAACAGCTACCCCCCTTCCTTGCCAATACAGGCCCTGCATCTGAATTACTGCCCGCCATTGGCCAGCCGTTGTCGGTCCCGACCGAAGAACAAACACATGGCCACATCCTCCATTGGGCGCAATGGGAGACACACCTCCAACAGAGTATGGGAATATTCCCGCAAGGATGTGTAAGAGAAGAAACAATGTCAATTGCTCAGCAGCTCTACCTCCCTGGTTTCACAATGTGGCAGACCCAGGTGAGGCATAGTAACTGTTGTGCCTGGTTGTTCAATCATCAGGAGCAACAGGGCATACATCAGCGAGGAACCCAAGACCATATGGAAGTACTCCCCCAGCCCCATACTGGAACCCTGCATCAGATTCTTGTCCCAATGGAACTATCGAAGGATCACTTACCTGGGCCGCCACCTGCCCCGTTGGGAGTGTTCAACAGACCGGCAAGGGAGCAACTACAGAATACGCTTCAGCAAGGTATGGATCTGGACCCTCCACCCAAACCTCAGCAGTTATGCCAAGACAAACAATGGTCTCAAAAAAAGGCAATCCCAAAAAGGCTCAAAGCAATAGCAGATTGGGTGGTGCATGAGTACTTGAAAAACACAGGCTTGCAAGTCACCGATTCCCTGCCTCCACAATACTGGGACGTGATAGCGGACATGATCGCTACATGCCCCCCCATGGTGGAAACAGTGGATGCTTTTAATGACTGTGTGAACATAGATTGGCCATACATTATTATCCCGGCAAAACGTGTCGTCGACAAAGTCATTAGAAGCAGCCTCTTCAAAATTTCGTGGGTTGAACTGTCCGTCGTCGCTCAGCCACCTGGCCAGCGAATTTCAGACTATGCCCACACAACCTATAAACTAAACTAGCTAAGCGCCCGTGGTGCGGGCGGTGCGGGCTATGCTCGCAAAAATAAGAAATGTTGTAGGGAACTTGACACAAACCACTCGCATAAAATCAAACAGACTTAAAAAAAAAAAAAATTGAATCACAGGGTAATAAAATAACAGCCCAAAACTGGCTACGAAATCTGAGTTTAACTGACGATTAAAAAAAGTGACAAATTGAAAAATCATCTAGGCTACCAGAGTGGCCCATGGTCACTTGCCCGCCCGGGCCAAAAAAAAAAAAAAAAAAAAAAAAT